TATATATATATAACTAGTATAATATAAAAGTTTTTTATGATTACTCGATGAGATGATCGTTGCATGTTCTGAATTGCAGTACCACTCATCAAAACGATGCACTCGAAAATTCTTGTCCCCACCAGTATGTCTCAACTCAAGTAATATCCTGAACGCGATTCGTTGTTCGAAGATGCGAGCGAAGTTTTTTGTGTAGATTTTCTTCGTAAGTTCGTGATCAGTTTAGTGCCGTGTATACTTTGTGCGTTGTTTGTTCTTAATGCATTATGGATTGTCACTGCTCTTTACCAGATGAGAGTGAAGGTAACGAGATCATTTTATTGTGATTTTATGACTCGAGAATACTTTTGATGTCCGTGTTATCGACGGATGCATTGAATCGTTTCACTGCCGAGAATTCGTCCACTTTTGATCAATGCTTCATGTTCAATGGGTTTGTCAGTCATCTAGATGAATCATTGTTTTGTAATGGATGAAATTCGTACTGGAAGTTTTATTCCTTTTACACCTGCGAAATGACGCTATTTGGTTTTGTTTAACTCATTTTTCGTCGTGATGTTTTCCTTGTTGAATAAATTATGGTTACTTCGCATAATGCAATACAGTATTGTTGTAAGGTAACTCAACTGGAACTTCTGTTTACGCTGACACTTCTGCTAGCACTTTATGGTTATTGCATACGATGTAGCACTTCGATGCGATTCGTTTTATTGTCATCATAACTGTTATCGTTCTTATTGTTATTCTTTAACTACCTCTTTGTACAAATGGTCTCGATGATAGGTTACAGCGATTTTCGTACTTTGCGACAGTTTTTGTCATTGTTTTGTAATTTAAACTGAATATATGTGCCTAAGTGCATCGTTATTTTTACCACATTTATTTATGTTTGAGTATGTAAAATGTTTTAAAACGTAATCGAATTTTCTGTAAATAATGTTTATAACATTCAATGTTCAGTAAAGAGTTGGCGGTTCCGTTGTTCTTTTCTCTTGAATCAAGTCGATCGATCAATTAGATTGAAGCGGTTATTGCCGTCGTAATTCTATTACCTTTATCGAAATGCATCGTTTTCTGTGTGAAGGTTCGGCATTCTTTGTCATATCTAATTATCGGTAATTTGCGGAAGGTTTTCTTTGTAGGCGCATACAGTTTAATCAAAAACTTTCATATATTTTGTAAGACGGTGGCGTGAAAGATTCATGTTGTGAGATATTTGTCTGATGTGCAACGTGTCATCTGATTTCAACGTCTCGTTTTTGTTGTACCGATGTAATTGTGGTAAATGTCAGGGCTAAAACGTTACCAGCACGCAGTCAACCGTTGTGACACGATTCAGCAATGTCCACAAATCCATTCGACGAGGATTATCATGATTATACTGGCGCTTTGTCGGCATCTGGTAGGCATCTGTTCTTCACTGGTTTTATTCATTTCGTATTTTTATTCACGAATACTTTTCTGACCTTATTCATTGCACTTAAAGTTTTCTGTGCTTTATATTCAGCGAGTGGGTTTGGAGAGGTGACAAGGTTATGTTTTTGATTTTCAATTGATGCTTAAAGGGCCGACGAAGAATTATACATCAGTTGGCAATAACAGTGTAGAGGATGATGTGAACTATTACGAGCGTGAGATTGAGAAATACATGCAAGAGTCATTGGATAGTACACAACGCTCAAGAAGGCAGTTGGATCAAAGTGAACAAATTGGTGTTGCCACTGCACAGGTTTGTGTTGCGTGACGAGTGCTTTCCATTGATACTGTCAGTATTCTTCCATCGATGGCCACTTGAAGTTAAAAGCAATTTATTTTGTGATCAATTTGCACATTCTCGTATGCAGTTGCTGGGAGATGTTCCATGTTGAAATACGCTCATGCTCATTATACGGAATACTTCAGGATTTATTGACTCAACGTGAGAAGCTCGAAAATGCTGAGAAGAATCTGGAGGAGATCGATAAAGTGACGAAGATGACACAACGAAATTTGAACAGCTTAAAATCTGTGTTTGGTGGTTTCTTCAAGAATAAATTCTCTCGTGCACCCAAAGAAAATAATGAGGTGAGGGAATTTTCTTGAATTTTAACTTAGGTCTAAATTCAACTCATTCACTAAACATGAATTCAGTATATCGTTTGTTTTACGTCATCCGCTATTTTCAACATATTTCACTTGTTCAGACATAATTTTCTATTGAATAGTGTAGAAACAGATATGTGTGCGAACAGTAATGAAATTGTTGCAGAAGATGTCATCATCAAAATCGGATAATCGTCTCAACAAAACAGTTGATAAGTTGACCTCAGCAGATTCGACTAGCTCATATACGGGTGGTGCGGTATCAGCATCAGGTCCGACTTTAAGTGAAAGCTCAAGAGCTGCGATTAAGGGGACGCGTTGGGAAACAATGGACAATGAGATTGATTCGAACCTTGGTTAGTGAGTTGGGCTTTGAATCATTCCCACTCCCTGCTCTTGTTCAATCCGTTCACTGAAATGATGTTTACCTGAAGTTGTAATCTTGAACAGTTATTGAATGTTCCGATCGGGATATACTGGTCAATATTTTGAAATGAGAACTGAGAAATGAAATCTGTGTTTCGAACTGTTGTGTTGAAGATTCAATGAGTTCGCAGTTGGCACGTTTACGTGATCTCGGATCGGCGATAGGTGATGAGGTCGACTCTCAGAACGAACTGCTCGATCGCATACAAATGAAGGCCGAACGGAATGATTCTCGTGTCAAAGACCAGGACACTCAGGTTATCCATTTTATCTCGTGATCTCCATTGCAAAAGTCTTCTACATTCATTTGATTCATAACTGAAAGTTCTATAATGAAGAATTTAATCGAATGGAGCAATCTCATCCGGATTATTTTAACGTAAATCGTTTTCACTTGATAGTTATCTCCATTCCTAGTCAGCTTTATTTTCTGTATTACTCAGCAAACAGAGAACGAGAATATGGTCGGAAAAGGAAGACGTTCGAATGCCAGTTTTGTTTTTGATAAGTGATCCTCTCGCTCGGTGGTATTTCATTGAAGATTTCATGTTATCAAAATATCAGAAGTTTGTGATCGTTGAGGAGATAGATAACGCATGAGTTTTGCCGATTGTTTCAGATGCGAAGGATTCTTGGTAATGTCGAAAAACAGGACGAACAGAAGCCAGCAATTCCAACTGTTAGTAAACGCAAGTAAGTGAATTTTTGAATTACCAGTATGAGCCTTCAGCATGAAAAACAATCGCTACATTTGATTTCAGTTCTAATTTCACGGGATTTTATCAGATAGAAAAGTTATCGTTTTAGTTAGCGTATTTATTCAGTCCGATTGAAAATATTTGTTGTCTATACAAACCGTCAACGACGAGTGAAATACGTGTTCAGATTGATTGAATAAATGAGTTCGTTTGTGAAGCAATCCTATGAAATTGATTCAAGGGTAATGTACAGCGCAATGCGAAGTGCCTTCTGATTACATCGATCCGTCCGTTCGAGCTCGTTTCGCTGACTTTCGTCGAACATCATCCAATGTGTTTTGCGCTCAACATCTGGGTTAAACATACACCAATCTGTAGACCTACATACCAACTCAAGATAACGAACTGATATTCACTGGCGTGTGTTCACCATATTAATTGTTTTTCTATGGTATCATCATTATTTCTCATCGATTATGCTCATTTGTCGGCTGAAAACTTAACCGGTTTATAAACATCATGTGAGTTGCTTTCGATCGAAATTCATCTTCGATTCGCTCCTACGTGATTCGGTTTTTTAGTGAACCGTTTTTGAAGTAAATCGTAAGCGTTCACATTTATGAAGTGGCGATTTTTTTGTAATTATTGTTTCGAATAAATTGAAAAATTTCATGTGTTCTTGCGAAACGTTTTTTGTCGCTGTCGAGTGGTGGACGTTGTTTGTTTTTGCCAAAGGTTTTTCGGTCTTTAAAGATTCCATTTTGCTGCACGAATGCTTCGGAACATATATTTTGACACCCTTCAAATGATTCTTCTGTTGTTTTCTCAAAAATTTTGAATGGACGGAGAGATTTCAGTGAAGTTATTTGGAATAGTAATTTCATTAAATTCTTAACGATTTCGTTGAAGTGATATTTTACAATCGATCATTCGAATATATTCATTGTGATCTTTCATTGACTTTGTGATTATTGCAACACTGTGGCGATATTTAAAATTCTGTTTTCGTTCTTCGTCTCTTAATGAAATCTCATTATCAATGTTATCGAGTCATCGTAGTGAGAACAAAAATATGTTTTATTTCGATTACATCCTTTCGGCTCCCAGTCAGAAAATGATAGAAATCGCGATAACTTTGTCCCTTTTGGAATCCCTCATCCTGTAGTGATGGATCCAATTTCAATCAACGATTGTGTTTGGAACATGAATACTGAACGTTTTTTCAATGCTTATTCAATTTTTTGCCAAATCGCTGTTCCATTCGTGCACTCTTCTCTTCTTTCCTCGGTAAAAGTATCATCATATGAGGATTGTTTGCTATTGCAATAAAAGTGTCCATGTATGACAAAAAATAAAACTTCCTTCTTCATTCCTTCCAGTTTTGTCCGCACTCTGTTTATATGTTACTTCTGTTCTCTGGAAACTCGTCTATCAGACATTATTTTTATTTCCTCATTGATACAATTCAACTGCAATGAATCTGTGAGATTTCATTTCATTATTCTTCTTCATTTGTTTTATTGTCGCTTTTCAGTGATTTCGTTATCGTTCAAATGTGATTTTCAGTGTTCCGTCATCCCCAATATGATAAATATTTGAGTGATTAATTTTTCACCATAAACAGCTGAAATTCTCATCAAACCAAGCTTCCCATGCAATAGGTTTGCAGAATAAAATTTACTTGTAAGCAGCTTTTTGAGTAATCGAAATCGTCCAGTCACTCGTTAGTGTTTGCTGAGCTCAAGGAAATGTGCTGAAGTAGGGTCGTGCAAACAGAAGCAATTGTGCGATTCTAGGGATAATGTTAGGCATGAAACGATCGTTGTCGTTGGCAAAACTACTTCAAAATAATGAGGAAGTGATTCAGAAATTTTCACTCTTCGTAATGTTTAAGAAATCAACTAATAGTAAGTAAGAGTAATGATCTCGTCTTGTCTTGGTCACTCATCATTCATCAGATGCTCCCGTGGTGACATTCGAACTGCTTTGTCAGAGCTCATTGCAACCATTGATTTACTGCTTAATAAAATTAGTTATGGAGATTCTCATAAAGTAATGAAGTTAATATTTGTAATTTAATGAGCCGTTATACCAAATATCAGCAACTGAATACTTCAGTCGTCAATATAACAGACATCAAAAATGATCGGGAAGTGAACAACCGCGGCTATGTTTACCGTTGTGCGTTCACGCGGATATAAAACGTCTAATCCTTGCGTTCGATACGACGCGTTGTGAAATATAAGTCTTTCAAGATTGATGTATATTTGGCGTTCAAAATCGTTGCTTGAAAGCGTCGATGCATCTCCGATCATAAATTTGATACATTTCTAAGATCACATTCCAGACAGAGCACACCACTGCACTGCAATAAAAACAATTGAAAAGCAACTATCGTAGCATTTGGTGGACGACTGATGAAATGGATGAAAGTAATGTGAAGTCGTTGAGATGTTGGTATTTATTGATGTGGTTGATGGCTGCTTAATGGATCAGTTTGGATTTGATTCATCCTTTAAAGCATCGTATGAAATTATTTGATAATTTTGCTCGATCAGTACTGCAAAGATTATAACGTTTAGTTATCATCCAAAAACATTGGTTCTGGTAGGCCGAAATGATTTTAGAAGATGTAATGGAATAACGACAATTTAATCTCATACGATTGATATGTTTATTTATACGATATCGGTTTGTTGTTTGCATTTCGTCTTGTTTTAATGTGTTGTGTAATTTTTGAATGCATAAATCGTATATGAAATGCTCACAGACAAATCGAAGGGTTTATATTAAGATCAGATTTGCCATCATTAACATCGTCATCAACAACATTTATTGTGCACTCTATGACTGACTGCTGAAACGATCAGCTCCTGAGGCGTTTCAAAAAGCTTAAGCCACACACACCAATGGGTTTGGCTTATGCAAAAAGATAGCCTTTAGCAAGAGTAGCAGCAACAACAAAGATATAATATCGCTCAGTTCAGTGTTATGGCATTGGCTCCTTCAATTCAGTCCTCTAAGCACGCATTCTTCTTCTTCTTTCCGAACCGTTCAAATTCTCCACACCAATGCTCATCAACGCATTAATTACCACTCATCCCTTCTCACTTCTTTTATTACTTCTCCTTCTGTTCACTGATGTTTGCTCAACTCATTGGACCAGCTCAGCATACCCGGACTTACGCGGTCCGTCGGTTGTCAAATGCGGCGTTTCACCACGGCCCGGAACGCTTCTGTACTTATGTGACCCTGATCGGGTTTTGAATAAAACTGCAGGTTCGTTTCAGCTAGTTGATACTAATGAAATATGGTATTTCCAACAGCAACATCATTAACATTAATCATCTCAATATGAGCGCGTAATTTTAATCGTCTCATTATCTTTTAATCATATACGAAATGGTTTCCATCGATTCACTGTGGAAAAGTGCAATAGTGCGTGAAGCTCATCAGTTAGAATGCAATTAAAATAATGCTACATTAAAGGATCATCAAGTCACTAAAATTGTGGCAATATTTAACATCACTTGCACTCGTTGGAACGATAATAGCTGTTTCTTATCAGATATTCATGCCACCGAACTATCTCGATGTATAAACTTTAAAATGAAATATTTCTGTCTCGCATGGAATAAAAAAGTTCCAATCCTATTGACGAGTCTTAAAGTTATGCGTCGTGACAGGTTGATTTGAGATGAAATTTGGTGGTGTTAACTTTTTTTTCTCGCACCGTTCACTGTTGTTTATCAAGTAATATTTAGAGGGGTTTTGATGTAGCTGATTCGAACAGAAATAAGCATTATTGACAGCTGATTATGTCATTTCTTATTGAATGAATGCTCTTGCTGAACGATGATATTGAGGGATTATGTACACACATCTGGTTGAGTATGTGTGAACAATAATCGAAATGATTCCGATGAGTTATTGCTTGCATTTTCGAGCGAGGAGAAATTTGAGTTTTCCGCATTTGAAAGAATGTTTCGTTAGAAAGTAAATGATGAATGTTTCCGGTCGGGTATTTCTCAGCTGAGAATCAACTGCAGTTGACAGAATTGATTCACTCACCTAAGATATTCGTTGGAAAAGAGTTTTCATCGAATTTCTTAATTTGGACTCAGCTGCTTTCCACATCAGCAGGCAAGATTAATGTGAGCATAAATTCAACTGTCTGGATTACTTTATTGCGCTCTTTGTACAGTTGTTGTAATGTTATTTACTCAACCATATTACAAGCTTATTATTTATGTGATGTAAATATATTAAATATGTTCATCATCCGTTTAACAAGCGAATAATTTACTGACAAGTAAATGAAGCCTTTCAAGATGGTTGTCACCTATGGAGTGTTGTTGATAGTTGTCTATTGATATGTCATCGAACAACTGTTGCAGTTCGTTACTTGTTTACTTCGATTGAACGTTTTACCTCGAACAGGTGCGTTCTTTTTCTGTTGGATATATTCATTCGTATCTGATTGTCACACGTTTCGATGAGTCATTAATTTCCAAAACGACGACAGCTTTTCAAAACTCGGTGGTAACTTGTCATATTTCAAGTTTGCTGTAAAAGTTTCGAAACATTTTATTTATTTGCACAACGGCTCTCTGAAATCAGCTCGCAAGGAACCAAAAGGTGGCAATGCTCAGATGGTCGAAAATTCCATGTAATTTTGGTTTCTCGTACTCCTCTTACACCACTCTCGAGGATTAATTCAGGCGTTAGTAAACCTGTTAGCAGCAAACGTAAAATCAGAAAGACTAATGAAATCGTATTTCGATCATTTTCAATGATTCTAGTGACATCTAGCTGGCGAAAGTTGAATTCGATTGCGTTCTTTTCAATGAGCACTTTGTCGAAGTGCACTCAGTTGCTGGAACAAATGTTGTTACGGGCTCGAGTATCAATACCTAGCAATTTCGATGCCTACGAGTTTTCGTCTCTTAGATAAATGCGCTCCATCAAAAAGCTATCAATCAGTTGTTCTCATGGAGCATAAAAACGTTTCCAGTTGACCGCTTTGAGAATGTTCACCGAGGTGCGATCCTAGAGAAATGTTTGGTTTTTTGTTTTGCTGATTAATGAAACAGTTAAAGTTGCCGAATGAAATGCGATCAAACTAACATCAAGGTCTTAGTGGTGGCTGAGATTTGCAGTGAAAATGTGAGTAAGATTAGGTGGAAAGGTTGAAGAGAAGAGAGAGTTAACAAACCTCAAAGACAACGAATGGATAATTAATGCGATCAGAAAATGCATTTATTAGCTAACATGCACGAAAGTGTTTGCAAAGGAACCATATTTCATCGTAACTCGATGAAATATAGGCAAATGAAAGAGGTCGTTCGCAACGACGAAAGAAACAAATATGGAAAATTAAAATGGTTTGATAAGAAATGTGAAACGTTCTTCTCGTTTTCTTATGACAGCTAGTGGTTAGTCACAATAATTTTTCGTGTAAACTCATTCGTCATGCAGTCTTCTCTGAAAATTTCATACACTTTAACGAGCGAAGGCCAACTCTTCTGAAATTTAGTTGCTTTCAATCGTTCTGAAGACGGAATCAATTTTGTCGCATTCGTTGTGGAGTTATTAATTCTATTCGTGAACAGTTCTTCATTCTGTCATGCTGAAATTTCGATCGTGAACTAGAAACATTTGAAGCAAATCAACGAAACGAATAATACCACCTCAGTATTGTCGCATCACTCACGACCGATACTCATTACAAATCAGTAAATTTAACGCTGACTTCGATTCCTAACAGGAGACTTGTACTGAGACTCATTTAGATTTGTCACATGGATCATTGTTACAAAAAATAATTTGTAACCGCAGAGGAAAAGTGGCTTTGGGAATGTTGCGAAAAGTTGCGCAAGAAAATGGACGAAGGAAGCCTATTCAATTAAAAAGATGTTGTTTTAAGTGATGACTGATACTGAATCAGGAGAAATATGATGCTCTTCGAAGAGAGGAACAAGTTTAGAAATGTTTAGCATTTTTGCAAAATTACCTTTAAAGTGTTCTCGGATGAGGCAAACAGGAAATTACATGCTCTTTCTTCTGTGAAACAAGGCTGTTAAGAGTCAGACTTTGATCTATGAGAAAATCCGATTTCAGGAGAAAAACTGAACGAACGTTTGCATGAATTAGCAGTTGGCACACCGTGTCATTGTCAGCGACGTTCGCAGTGTACATCCGGTGATGAGCTGAGCAGTCCATTTCACGGATTCATCGTTTCGGTTGCGTTGGTCAACAATCTTCATATGACCATTCACAGCCCTTCTGAGCAGTTAGTGTTCATTCTTGGTATTTCAGCCATAACTGCTTAATAAGGATGCAGTGATGAGCACATCAAAAGTGTCCATAGAAGCGTTAAAATCCTCATTTTACTGAATGCAAGTATCGAGCTTATTCGGTAGGCAGCTCACTGTGAAGCGATGAATCGAAATGATCATTCCTAATTGCAATCGCCATTACATGAAAGGAGATCAGTGGAAAAAGTCACTCGCTAACTTTTCTGTGAATGTCACCGATGAAATATTTCCTAATGTTTCTGAGTGACTTCTCGAAAAACTGAAATTGCACATCGTCGTAAAAATGTTCATATCCCTGATGAATGATTTGTTGAGTGGAACGTGTGCTTGGTTGGTTATCTAAATTGCTTTCTTGATTAATGACATCATTCACTGCATTCATTAGTTAATTGTTATGCGTTATTCAGTTGAATATACTTGTTGGATTGGTTGCTTTCGTTGTAATATTAAATACTCACTTGAATGATTTAGCAGTAAACAAATCAACGATTTAGCAGGTGAATAAATTTGAAAAGAATCACAAACACCTTCACATCAAGTTGGCGTTCAATGAGTTAGGCATTTGAGTTATGCAATAATAATATGTTGTAATCATAAAACAAAATTCGGAGAATGTGGGTGAACAACCAGCATATTATGTTTGCTGTGTATAAAAGCAAAACCAATCTTCGATCCTCTTATTATCAGTTAGTTCGGTTGCGTTTTTTTGGTTCAGTTAAAGAGGATCAAAGAAAAACGCTGCGTTGAGAGAATGCTTTCGAGATGAAAATAATCAGTGACAAGAACGTGAAATAAAGCATTTAAAGTGTCATCGCGTGCATATTTCAATGTTTCCTACTTTTGAAGTGCAAACGATTGATCTATTCAATTTTCTCTCAACTCGTTCCTATATTAAATCCTGAAGCCATAAGAAGCAATTCCTAAAGAGCTGAAAAGACTTTCAGTTTGAAATATGTCAGTTTCTTAATGAGAATTCGATGGTTAAAATCGTTGAGTTGATGTGTCTAGGCGTTACTTTGACATTTTATGCACAATAACGTTCATTTGAAAATCGAATGTCAGCGGTTGGCCGAACGCTTGTAAAAATTTGGTTTTACTCGATAATTTAGTAATGCATAGAACTTTTGTGGGAAATTCTACGTACAAATGCATAAATCATAAAATGTCAATGAATGAATATCGATGTAATTCAGACGCCCCCGTATTTTAGAACACTTGTGATTGCTTGCCAGAGCGTGTTTTAAAAACGTCAGAATATTCAATATCCTCATTAATATTCATTCATTCCATTCGTATAAGCCCCCATTTGATTAATCCCTCAAAACAAATTTGATCCCAACTGATCTTTCTAAAATTCGTTCTTCTCCATATACATGAGGGCCCCTCTGTGTGTGAATCTCTCTAATCATCTTGACATACCATTAATCAAATTCTCTGTGTGAAAACCTCGCGTGTTCACCGATAAACATAAACATGCATGTAAAAGTCATCCATCCACACAACTTGAATTTAAGTTATTTTTACATTCTTTTGAAAATAGCACTTGAATTGCAATTAAAATGATGGGAACAGATGTTTATTCTGAATTCTAGAAAACTTTTCTCAAACTTATGATGATATTATTGCATGAGACTGTGGAAAAAGCAAGAGTAGTGCACAATATCAATTGCGTTCATAAGTTCCACGAGGTGTCCTTCGCACACGTGATATCTATTTCATATTGGATTTAAAACATGACCTACGAAAAAACATGACACAGGCTTAGGGTGTCGATTACATTCCACCAATGGGTAACTGTACTTCTTCGACTTTCTATGTAGTGATGAATCTTTGAGAAGCAACAGCAGAAAAACATTCGTCTGATGTACTTTACTTCCGCTGACCACCATCGGCTGGAATGCTCCTCAAAAATGATCAAGTTCAAGATTGAAAAACAGAAAGAATTTTCGAAACATTACATCTCCTAACCGTTCTCGCTGACTAACAAGTGCATCTGCTTTGAGTTCAATAAACATCTGATCTGGTTCGAAACAATATAAACACGTTGATGTACTTTAGTTGTTCATATCTCCTTTCAGTGCTGCTCATGGACTGAACTGTTCAATCATCGAGCATTTTCACTGAAAATCGTTAAATTGAATGAGTGACAATGCTGACTGAAGCTGTTGCGTTCGTGATGCAACAATAATGAAATGATTTCAAAAGAATTGCAGGCAATTGGTCGACCGTGCAGAGGGTTTCTGTCGTACTTTAGAAGGACGATGGGCACTTGGCGATTGTGGAAATTCGGTTATTGTTTTCGTTTGGACACATTACAAAAAGGTTATTTGTTGACTGTAGAACGGATCGTTCACTATTGCTATTGTCTGTTTTTTTGTTTGTTACATTGAGTTCGTGAATCAGTAAAACTCGGCTAGCATTCCGTTCGATGAGAAATCTGCTGACAATGTCGATAGCAATCAATCCGTTCATCCGTTCGCGTCTTTTTGACTCACTGTAGGAACAAGGAAACACATAATAATGAGAAATATTTCTTGATTAAGCGTTTGAAACGAGACTATTGGGAAAGCGTTTCGAATGAGGACAAAATCTGAGTGAATAAATCGCAATGATTGAATCGCAATTTGTGTATAGCTGTTTTGCAGTCAATTTTGATGTATTGCGTTCTTATGTAGTGTTTTCAAAGTTCTTTCATCATTTAGAGCAATGAATTCGATGTGTTTAAATTGTTTCAAATATGCATATGTTGTTGTTTCAACATTTTTGGTATCAGAAATGAAATAATGCTGAATTTGAATTGAACTCTATTAAATTTGTGTCAAAGACATACTTCATTTTGATAGATTTAGTTGGTGATTTGGCCAGCGAGGCTTGCCGAGAAATATGTTACAGCGGATGAAAGGCGGCAAATTCTATCCAGTGTTAATTCATTGGTACAGACTGATCAGTGGTCTGAAGCACTTACACAAGTTGTTGGTTGGTGTTTGCGTTGTAATTCTGAAAATGTTTGACATTCTTCAAGCCGATATAAATCATTATCACTTTCAAAATATAACATCGCTGCGTTATGAAGTTGTGATATGCATTTATACAACGGCACATATAATGACGTTACATCAGAACATAAACTGAAACAATCTTGTTCTTCATGCTGTAGTTTTTCTTGCACTGACAGACCCGTTGTGAAGCTGGAAGTGAGTTCATTCATTAACGATTGATCCGACAAAGTATGGCATAGGACAGTGTAGGACGGTCATTTCATGCATTCTTAAACGTTCGCCCATCAATTTTTACTTTGGACGATCGCTCCATAAACAACTGCCCACATGATTCATAGTCGTTTATCATTTGAGAATTTCAAAAAGTTTCATGCTTTTCAACTTATCACATTCTCATAAAACTCTGTGATTTTCTCACATCTGCAAATGGAAATAATTGATGCGGAAATGAACAGAAAGAACATCTGCACACTTAATTAAAGCGACGGGTTGAAAGTTGCTTGCTGAGATATTGCAATGAAAATTCGCTGAAGCAGGTGACTGATTGTTGCAGTGAAATTTTGAGTGTTTCAGCAGCATTACATCGTGAATTACAAGGCGAACCGTCTGATCGAGTTGATACAGGAACACTTTCGTTGATCATCGCCGTATTCGTTGCATCACTGATCGTTGTTTTAATCACATGTTCGTTGTTCTGTTCTTTTCTCTCCCAACTCCAATTCAACTACTCACTCTCTACGCTTCCATATGAACTGAAGCAAATTTTCTTTTCACAACTTCACTTCGTCACTACAAAATCTCAGATAACTTTTCTTTCGTAAAGTGCAGTAATGCGTGCACAGTCAATGGAAAAACGAATGATAAATGACATTGGAAAATGCATTCAAACGAGATTGTTATCGAATTGTCTTAATCCATTGTGCGTAATTGAGAAGCAAAAAAACATGATAGAAAATGCTGTCGGAGTGTAACACGATTAGTGCATCGAAAAGTGCAGTATTGTTTTCGGTTGCATTTAAAAGCAATTTTCACGGATCAATCTTACTCGAATATTCTTCATCTAAAACAGAGTATTTGTTTGGATGATGGAATTGAGAGATTGATTCTGCTGTAAGGAATTTGCTTGATATTTCAGGTTGCGTTTGTGCAATTCGGTGTTGTGGCAATCTCAGAAATGGAGAACACGAGAATGTTCGTAAGGCAGTGCAACGAGTTGGCAGTATCCGTGCCGAAGTGATCAGACGTGGTAGTCAGTTTCGGCGATCTTTCTCGAGATCACCAAAGTTCTCGATAAGGAGCGATAATCCGATCGATGCGAGTTTCTACCCTGATACAACGGTTGTTTAGCTGTGTCATCACACCGAGATGTTTCCACTTGAACATAGCTCAACGAACATTTCATAATTCGAGGAGAAGCCTCGAATTATGGAATGAGATGATGATAAGAGAAAAGTTACCTATGCGTCCCTCGAACGCGTGGGTGTTTGATATTCATATAGCCTAAGAGAAACCCTTATGCGCATGTAAATGCTAACGGTCCCCCATTATACAACTGATTAAAAGGGAACCAAATACTGCTTCAAGAAATCTGTAATTACTGAAAAAGGAATAGTCAAAATCTGAATTTAAAACCTAAAAACCGGAATTCCAACCGAACTTCAGTTGATTACCATTACTGTTTCATAGACTTGACTGGTTGCGAAATAATATCGCTTTTGGAACGTGAATTCATTTCCTCACACACATTTCATAAAGGTCCATGTGAGAGTGAAGCACAACATATTTTTTTAAGAATCGTCGATATTTGTAATTTAAAAACCAGTTGTAAACTGTAGAAATCACCCCTCCTCTGCATATAACGATTTATTTTCACTGCATAAACTTTTCGCATGATATACAAATCCGTTGCTGGGAATGCTTGAAAGGATTTGAGTTATTGTTGAGCAGTTTAAGTACTTGTTCCATCATTTTACAGATCGCTCTAACGGTTTCCTACCAAATGAGTAAAACCAAACGAGTGTTGTTGCATAATGCACATTTGATTATTCACTTTGTCTTCTGTTGTATATACTTCATTTGCATACAGCGTTACTATGTACATAGAATTTCGTTCGAAGTTTGATTCACGTCCTCGTTTTCAAACAAGGACTGTATTCGTTGAATGAAGATTTGTATTGTTCAATTTGAAGCACTCTTTTGTTTTGTAGTTTTCATTAGATGAGATGATGGCGTCTGATAACGGTTATAAATGTATTAATCCATTACAATTTATTTACATTTCCATTTGACAATCTATTTTGGATAAACAACTTTGTGGTGATTGTCATAGAAATGCATTCGTTTGTGAATAACATGAGAGTTGCAAGTTCCTCGCAGTTGATATCCTTCTCACAGTAATCACATCAAAATTCCATTCGAATGAATTTCTTTATAACTGCTTCGAAAATCAGAGAATCGAATTACATAGATGAACCTCGCATGTGCGGGAATATTCGTTGAAACGCTCGCTATTCAACATCTTATTAGCATCTTGTCAGGGAATTTACGTTATATCGGGAATTTTGCGCAACTGTGTGGGGCTGTACTCAGATTGTTATTGTATTATTTGTGCATTATGTTGTTCGTTGTGGTCTCTTTTTTTTGTTTGTTTACGAATTGTAACTTCAACAGAGAATTTATCTTGTCGATGAATTATTGATGAATGTAGTTCTGCGTTTGTTATCCTGAACGTAAACATTCATTACTTATCAGTGCATAATCATATTCATTAATTCTCTTTCAAAGACCAAATTCTTCGTTTACTAATGTTAAGTTAAATTTTTTTCGCTTTCAAAAACGTTTCACAATCAAATCTGAATTTTCTCTCGTATATCTTTATCAAATTTTGGACAATTCTTTCTGTGCAGCTGCGAATTTTTTTCTCGTTAAATTAGTGCACTTGTTGTTTACTTATTCGGATTGCTGTTCTCCCGTTAGCAATATTCATCGTGACGCAAATAGGTCGGTTTGCAGAGAGTGTTGAAATTCTAAAAACTGTGTATTGCAAATTTCAATTTTATTGTTGCTGAGAATTGACTGAAACTTGCAAACGACTAAAAATGGCAACTAAATGAAAGAATACAAGTTCAGATTTTAGAGCCTCATCACAGACGTTGAGCAGCACTGATCGTTTGCAAACAATAAAGAGTCTTTTGTGCACGTTAAAGTGAACATTTTCAACGCGTTCGAGATTGTAAATATTGTTGGAAGCAGATCCGCGATTGTTTTGAAAGTGTCATCGATTGGTTGATTATGGCTCTTGCAATGAAGTAGGGCACATCGTAAACAGTGCTGTGAGACCGGCTGAAATAACTCGCTATTCAGAACAACTACAAGGAATCAGGTAGTCACTGAAGCTGTTTTTTGATATAGCGTTTGATTAGCATGGAAGCCGTGGTATAATGCGAGAGAAAATGCGTTCAAAATGAAAGAAATGTTGTTGTCTTACGAATTTCATGTAGGCAGCAAAACGTAATTACTGTTGAATTGCAAAATTCTCGGAGAAATAAAAAGTTGACGAGTGCATGTTGAGTTTAAGAAGCGTGTGAAGAGAGATTATTTTCGCTGACCTTTACAGTCTTCTTATCTTTTGAAATGGCCCTCGAGCAACATAATCAAATCTCTTATTGAATATTTGAGCATTGATCGGTGATTAGTTAAAAGATGTGACAAAGACGATTGGTTGGGAATAACAAACCAGCAATAATGCAGAATGCTGATATAGACATTATGATCACGGGTTGATAGTTGAATGAGTCGGAGAGATGAACTGCACGCAGAAATTCAGAGATGTTTTTCGATTGGTTCGAAGAATCATCCAGCAGTTCATCTTCGTCGTCCTCCTTTAATTGAAGCAAATTCAACGTTTTCAAATCAATTTCTGGGAGGAAGTGTGATATTTTATTTCAAATAAATGGGCAAAAATGAACTTTTCCGAAGACAGATAATTGGAAATGGAACGCGAAACCTCCGTGAACATTTCTGATTGTTTTTTCTGGCATTTATCGCCTTGCAAGCAAGCTTTACGAACGAACACCGTCGGTGCGTGCACAGTCTTGTTGCAGTTGCAACTTTTGAAACACGCACTATACTCCACCTGAAGCAATTGCAGTCTATTTCATTCATGTTGTATCACATCATTTTGCAGCACTGAACATCTGATCAGAACAGCTGATAGTTGTTGATGACCGGTGTTGTTCGGAATTCACTCAAATATTTCGAGCAACAGTTTTTTTTTCGCTGATTCTGGCCAACTGTTTGTGCGAGAACAAGATATCACACCAGTTCATTCATTCGTACTCAACACGTCAAATTCCACAACCCTCGCAAACATTCTCTCGAATCGAATAATGATTTAGTGAAAGAATTCGAAGTTTAGAATGAAATGATACGTGAGAAATAATTCTTAAAATTTCATTTAAGTTGCTATTTGATAATAAATAGAAATTAGCAACATGTGACAGTTACGAGCTCAGAGATGTTTTTGCTCGTTTTTGAGTTGTTAGTGCTGTCGAACACTCGGCAAATGTTGGTTTTTTTGTTCACAAATTTCATCACTCAGCGGAAGAGAATGACGTCTTGTTGTCAATAACATGCAAAAGACGCCATCTCACTTACACTCCAGTCATTATTAACTGGATATTTCGGTGCATTAAAATAATATGACTATGTTGGTTCCGTCAGATCATTTGACTTGTTGCTTCCAATGGCAAACTGCAGCTAACAAAGTCAAACTTTAATGGAAACGTCAGCAAGCACTTGATTGGAATATTTGCAACTTGAAATGTATCAGCAACACCTCATTTGTGGAAGTGAATTCGACTCGAAAATGAAACATTCTCTTAAGATACCCGTTCAAGACCCGTCTCGGTGAAGCATCCAGCACCAATCGACATCACCGACCTCAGTTCCTCGTTCTCTTCGGCAATTTCCTCTCGCGCTCCACTCTCCACTCCCCGCAAAAAATCACCAAGCGTAAAACAGCGCCGGCTGAAGAGCATAACTTACACTTAAACCTATCGTCGCTTCACAATACAATTCTCAGTAAAACGCCATCAACTCAACCTTCAAATACTGATCCATATTCACCACTCACCTTACCATCATATTACCCTTTGAAATGGCGAAAAGATTTCTGAGTCGCCTCGTTCCGTTCGCATTTGTGATGAATGTTTCGCGAAGTACTTTCAACAGAGTTAATTGCTTCTGAAATGATCATAGATTGTTAATTAAAATCGTGCTATTTTACTTCAGTCTTTCGTGATAATCAGTAATTTGCATCTATGATTGAGTAAAGTTTCTTGAGAAATTAGTGTTCAAGTTGAGCAATTTTAAACCAACTAATATACGTGTTTTGCTAAAAATAGCAATGGTTTTGAAAAATGACCTCATCAGTTTTGTTGAGGCGATTTTGCATGACGAGTATTTGAAAGGCGTAATGCGGTGACACACATTCAGTGCCAGCTGCGTCAAAGTTTCGAGAACCATAATATGGAAAACGCGGTCGACGGATACTGTCCTGCTGAACGGGCCAGCATTTCACCTGAACATCAACCCTATGTTCTGGTTGACAGGCAAACAATTCTGAAGGAACATGAATTTCTAATGACTTACCCATTTCAATGATGGAAAAGACTCAGCAAATTCAGGTGAAATTTCCGTGGAATAGTAATAATAATACAAAATTGAGAAAAGTGAAAGTCATTCAGATGCTGTTGCTCTGAAACTGCTGAAGGGCACTGGTTTCCGTTCAAGGTGGATAAAATAATACTTAGAGGTTGACTCAGAATACGCATTTTGAAGAATAGACTGAAAAAAGAAAAGTTGACGCGAACAGTTGCGTGCAAGTGGTTTCGGTAGGCGTCATCTTAATCGAATACATATGAAAAATCAGGGAATAACTTCTCTACGTTGGTATCTTCGCAAGCGAGAAAACACGGTCGCCAAAGTGAATAATGCGGTCCAGTGTCACCTCGTGCGGCCCTTTCACGATCCATAAAATCTGCTGAGTTTTGTGCAAATGCCTCTTCTAACCTTCAATAAAAGAACAATTACATTGGTCTTAACTTCAGGTATTATCACGGGGTCGGCAGCCACCAAATCTCCGTCAAAAATGGAATTATCTTCTCTTAGAATATGAGCACACATCAAGTGGATGAAGAATAAATTTGAGTATTTGGTCACACCGTGTTCCATCTGAGAACCTGTCGTATTCGTTTCATTCAGTTCAAGTACTGCGAAATGAGTGAGCTAACAACCAACCAAACGGCATGTTTAGGGAATGGATTTCGTACAGTGGACGTATATATCCACGGACCAGCGATACGATTTTGTATCCCAGTCTGATAGCATCGTAAACGAGTGGAAATATCGCCTGGATGATAGCGAACATAATCTAGATACACCGTCGGAACGAACATCGGCCGATTGCGGTGATGAAACTGCGTGATGCGTGGTACATCCAAAATATCACTTAAATCTATAAAATGTGGTATTAAATGACAACTCGATATCCTTCGTCGAAATATTCCAAAACATGAGCTGCTCTGCTCAGTTCCTACCTCGAATATCTTCACTGCGTGATTGGACACTCGGGAAATGTGGAATATTCGATGTAGATGGTATTGAATATGGAAAGAACATTTTGGCGAGGCACAGCTCAGGTTCATTATATACGGCACATTCTCTGAAGCACGGCTCTCGTACATCACCATTCGCTGTTTGCTGAACGATTTATTGCGATTACAAATAGTTCTGGTTATGATTTCAGATCATTATGACATTGCCACGAGAACAAATTCTGAATGCCATTCACGATTGCTGAATCAGCAGGGAATCATCATATTTTCTGGTGAGAAACGGAACAGTTAACGGCTGTTAATGATGATACAGTTGTTTGCAGCATCCATCCACTGACATGTAGGCTCCGAAGACAAAAAAATTTTTTGACTCCCTCCAAAAAAATCACAGCAACATTGAGTAGTCGGAGCCAAGATTTTGAGTCACAATAGCTTCTTCTGTATCGGGATCGCACCAGGGCTGAAGCCGAACGGCGCAGAGCAAAATATAGGGCTCGAGCCAGAAATGAAGTTTTGAAAATGCGTAGCCGTATGGGTAATTTTGGAGGTGCGGCATCGGAATTGGAGCCGAACCCAAAATTTTGAACGTTGTGAAGAAAGAGTCGGAGAAGAGGCTTGAATTTTAAAAATGCGGTGCCGAAGCAGAACCCCGAACCAAAAATTTTGAGAATGCGGAGACAAAATGGGTCAATATTGTTTTCAAATTAGGCACCATTGCTTTTAATTTGTTAGCAGCTGAACATTTGGATATGAGTGAATAAAGCGTGCGAACGACAGATCACAAGCTTTGATCAAGAACAGTTTGATCGAGGTGAACCTCAACGATGCACCATGGACCTCGTGACCATCCGTCAGGATTACGACAATAATTTTCGTGAGCATGAATGCTGTAAGAGAGGGTTCCGATGTTGTTATTGAGAAGCGAGGACGCATCCAGTTCATCGAACCTACTTGGTGCGAAATTTGTCGAAATTGAATCCCATCGGATACACTGTTTTCCTCTGAAATTTTTTGACAGCCTTCGGACGTTTTTGACAGCCTTCGGACAGAACATTTTATTCGAACATTTTGCTCGATGAAGCAATTTCTAGAGTTTTCGAAGTAATTTTCAAATGTTTCGAAAATTTATTCGTTACAATAATTTCAGATCACGTTTGCTGATGGAGAATCACAAGAAGTGCACTGCTTTTAAAAGAATGTTTCCATATTCGTAAATAAAGTGAGCTCTATAGAAACGAATCTATTGAATCAGTGATTTTTTGCAACAAGTATCGATGCAACTAACGAGACTGTGACGGACTGCATACCACGATACCAACTCATCGTATCGTCTACTTTACGGCATGGAATTCGGTGATCAGTTATATTAAAATTGCAATTCGCGATAACAAACTTCTCCTTCACCAAACGAACACAATAACTGAATCGTGCATTGTGCTCAGCTTTAAGACTACTGCATACTGAACTGTTAAAACCCAACAGTTGAAATGGATAATCGCCGAATTCTTGTCTGCAACATCCGAGGAGTGTCATCAAAAGCCACTCAACACTGATGCCATCCATCACTCGATGAGCTCACCTTATGAATTTCGTAAGTTTTGTTCGTGAATGCTGCCCACAAACAAGCAATTTACTTTGATGACTCTCATTTAATGTGCTCATTGACTTTATCTGTACTAGATTATTTGGTGGTCACTGTTGTAAGCGACACAGCCCCTTCGATTGTAAAATGTCGAAGAGATCACTCACATTTCACATTCGTGACTTATTTATATAAATGCTATCAAATTTCGAGACAAACCGTGTAATACAACCCGTACTATTTTTCTGAAGTTTGTACAAGGTATTTCTGCACTTCGCATCACAATACCACGGTGGCTCATCCAGTTTCCATAGCGCACAAACACTGACCATAAACAACGCCAACAGATACATTTTGTGAGTTGTGAATGAGTTTTAGTTCAGCGATTGTCGTCAATTGTGCTTACACGTCATACTGGGGCAATACCAAAAAATGTGCAAATTTCACTGAAGAGAACATTTTATTCGACAACATTTCAACAAACATCTTTATGAACAACATAAACGATCACCGAGACAATTATTCATCTATTTTTTTTGTTTGTACAGACGAAATCTTCGTCGTATTCTCATCGTAAACACCATTCTTCGAGGAAGTCAACTAACTCGTTTCAATCGTCAGAAAATGTTTCTCCATAAGTCGAACAGGATAAAAAGAGCACTAAACGACCCGATTCATACAGTAGACATATAAATAAGTAAGCCACATCAATAATGTAATAACAGCTAGCAGTAAGAGGCATGTACGATGAGGAAGGCAAGTGAACACATTTGCATGCTTCGGACAATAACTCAGCGACATCGATGAGGTGCTTATTTCGTCAATATTTCCATTACATTCAGGTAAGATTCGGAAATTACAACGAATCGCTCTACATTTAAATATAAAGAAATAGAATCGAAATGCAAATTTTTCGACAGAAAAAACTGAAAAGTTTTGGAGTGAGTTGAAATATTCATGCTTAATCATCTACATATACATAAAACTCAATTCAATTATTTCTACAGTCAACTTCAAAGGGCTGAATTGAGCCACAAACAACGGGGTGCCGCAGTGAATTGCTAATCTTTAGTCTTTGCAACAGCTCATCATCAGAACAACGGTCAAGCAACTTTCAGTTTCATTCAACAGTGCTGAGTGTAAATTTTTCATTTTTTCATTTTCCAAGGTCAGATTCTCAAATTCCATTCAGATGAAATGAAAACACAAAATTTACGACAGACACTGCAATCGATATTACCGAAATAACCTAGTTGCTCGCCACATTTCATGCGAATTATTCCCAATACATTGAACATTAACAGTGATACTGCTGATTGTGGAGAGCTATTGAAATACGGTAGGAGATGCACAAATAATGTACTTAGCGAATAGGAAAATTAAGGACGGAATCACTGCAAGACCTGAATGAAGTTATAAATAAAATAAACACAATAATAATTACTATTCGTCCATGATTCTTTTTATTGCAATGGATAATTCACGTCTAGTGTATGTCAGCTGACAACTGCTATTGAACCAATTTCATAACAAGAGCACGGTTTATGAGGTGATTCTCACATGTTGCTATCATCTTTCTCGAATGTAACGAAGTGTGAATCTCGCCGAACGTCCATTCGGATGATAGATTACAAAAACTTGATTATTATCCGATACTGTGTCCTCTTTTGGTCGATAACAACAACTGAAATATCGCAATTTTTAGTGATTTTACACTCGCAACATCGATTATTGTTACTGCATTTATTGTGTGCAATTCATTGCCATCATTGTTATTATCGTTGCCATTATCACAATCATTACCAACGACATTGTCGTTATCACGACTGACATTATTATTATTAATTTCACTATTGCGGTTCAGACGATCCCCACTTTTGGGTACTAAAAGACAGCACATAAAATGGGAAGCAAGAGTGAAGATGCATAACCAGTTTTATGCAAACTACCATTATGTTTCAATTTGCTTCATGTTTTTATTATGTTCCACATGGAATTTTGCTGAATTATTTCTCGATTTTTTCTAACAGTTCCATTAGGACAATGAATTTTTCATCTTAAGATAGAGATGATTGATTCCAAGTGAGAATTAACTGAAACCTAAAATAAATTTATCAACAAACGAAAACCTTCGGAAACCAGTCAGTCGGACGTCGAGTTTGTGTTTGATCTCCACATACGATTGACAACCGTATGAACATGGAAATTCACCATCACTCAGTCGGAAACGAATTTTACTTCCTTGTGGCACCTGAATGAATCCATAATAAGTCATCGCAAGCTGTAGTTGATATTCATTTTTATAAAGACAGAGATTTTAATCGTTTGTTTTTGATTTTGAGTCTAGGGCCGAACATGTGCCGGGCATTGATCTCACTTCAAATATAGGTCTATCTCTGTAAAGCACCACTGATCAACGTATCTCTAAAGATCTTGTCAGCATGTTATCCTGCATTTAGTCTAATCCTAATAGCTGGAACGTATGACACCGAAAATACCCTCAACAACATGAGTTGGAACGCGAACCGATATTCTCCAATAGCAATTAATGTTCTTTCCAGGCGGACTTGAAAGCACTTGCCATTGGTCTGTTGCAACGAGTTCAGATCCGCACGCTGAAAGATTTCATCAGCCATTATCAATTTCCAAACAAACGATAGTATCTTAACAAATTATCCAGCATCTTATCGCTGAGAGGCACTCAACATGTTCTTTCCAATTGTTGAGGTATATTGCCAAAAGACACTGGCGTTATGTGAATGAATGTGTATTGTGCAGTTTTTCTTGATTCCGGAGGGTACGAAAATAAATCTGAGTCAAACTGAAGCTGAAAGAACTGTGTATACTTGATGGCTGCAAGATTGTGCACTCGGGTCCAGCGAGTCCCTCTGGACAACGACACACGTTGCAGTTGTTTGGATCCGGGTAGCCACCCGCATTGCAGTTCAATCGCTGCCGACCGTAACAAACCTCTAGAATAAAATCGGACGTTTTGAGTTTTATTTTTCACATAACTTAATGACTGATTAAAATTATTCAATATTCCATCAGTTTATGAAAAAAAAGTTTCCTCTGTTCCTCGTCCGGATCTGGAGATGAAGATACGGAAAATGCAATCATAATCGCTCATGCAATGAATGAATGCTGAAATGATTAATCGGTTACGGATAAATATTTAAACTCGCACTGGGACAGTAGATATCGTTGATGATTTTTGCATCCAAGAATGCCATTCGTTCAGTTCCCATCGTGGTGACGTACTTCAACTCTTTTGGTACTATCGTGAAGTCAGATACTTTAATTGCATGCGCCACGGCATGATAGTGCATCAGTGATCCGTAGTCGTATGGAGTTCGTCGACTTGATATCTGAAACACTCAAAACTGGTTACTTGATAACACTGCATCATAAAAAAATTCGTAAACATAAAGAAGTCAATATCTGAGACAGTTTAGTATGCAGAATTCGGAAGTGAAGTTTTTTTTTCTATTGCTAGCTTCAGTTTCTCCGCAAGTAACCGTCAAAGACCGGAAAATAATCGGAAAGCGCTTGAAAAACTTTTCCGTGCCTAAGAAAGTCGACTTTCCATGTTTGCGCAAGTTAAAGAATGTGTTACTTTTATGCAGTCAGATATGCAGAATCAGAATTTGGTATGAGAAGAGTAGAATAGAGAAACACTTCTTGTCAAGACGGATACTGCAACTGTGAGAATTAGAGAGAAACGGGAACTCGAATAACTGACTTGTCTTAAATGATATACCCGTTGGTTTGTGTGAAGATGAATAGTCAACTTTTAGAGGCAATGGAATTCCTGCTTTCTAGCCATTCATCATAACCATGAAAAAAGTACAAAACTGCCCCAGTTAGCGATATTTTCATAGTTACATAATATTATTTTGCTACGCAACATAATAAGTGTTTTCAAATGTGTGACGCGTCAAACAATTGGAATATCCATAAGTCAAATGACTGCAGGAACGAGATCGAACCTGTTCGATTCCAAACGCTTGTAACATACTCCTGAAGGGCATAAACGATGCGGTTGCTTCATCCAGCACATTCTTCCAGTTCACCGAAATGTAACGATCTCGATCGGGGCGTTGGTGTGTATGCCAAAAGCCTAATGCATGCCCAGTTTCGTGCGCAACAACGTATTCCTAAAGTTCTCGAGCAAGCATTAGACGCCACTTTATGGCCATTTTAATTAGAACATCCACGCAATTTGCATACACAACCTCAGAATAAAACTGATCACCTTTCCAACATAATCATTTATGTGAAAGTCATTTCGATAAACGAAAACAGAAAAATTGAACAAGATTCGATGCCAGCGAAGATAAACATGAGCCTGCTATGTCAGTGAATTAGTACATGCGCAACAGGAAGATCAAAAAACGGCTTTGAGCTTATTTCGTCGCTGAATGATTTTGCAAAGTGAGAGGCAGCAAAGTGACAGCTGGACCGCTTAAACAGTGCTGCAGTTGCGTTCAATTCTAACTCACAATCGATTCCCGAGAGAATGAGATTCATAATGGATTATTCACCCTCAAATATCATCTGATAATGTTGAAAATTTGAAATATTTACGCACTTCACGTTATCCTTGAATAATGTGCAATCTGAATTTTGAATGACAAAATTTGTTTCTGAAAGCGTTGATTTTGAATAGTTTCCCTGCGTGAATTTTAAACGTTCATGAACCAGATATATTTCTGAGGTAAACTTGATAATGACATTGTGTACGATGAGATATGAAAGTGGTATAGAACGAAATGGCAGATAAACCAGTTCATCGAAGGGAGGCAATATATAATGCGCTGCGATGAGCTTAAAACTAAATCGGACACAACATTATTTTTATCGATTCCATATTATTAGCGCGAACAACTCGGTTTATTTCGATTCACTTTCTGTGCTTCTGAAGATCTGAACCTTTTTAGGTGATTGTAGGAGATTCCAATTCAACATGAAGAATGTATCGCCGCTGTGCATTTGGAAATAAGGAAACAAAATGATACAGCAAATGTTAATTGATCAAAATGTGAAAATAATGATTGTGCTTGCTGATGATTAACGTAAAATAACGACCACTCATCAAATCAAATTATGAAATTCGGGCATTTATTAGGTCGCTCTAAAACAAATTTCACAGCACATAAATTATTCAATAAATAATCCAATTTTTTGCGAAAACTGAGTGTTGCACAAGAGATGTATTTTTCAAAGTCATTACGACAGAGAGATGTGCGTATATACTGGACCTTCCAAAGCACATAACTTCAATGTTTTACGCGAACATCAATAGCGCCATGTTTAGATGATGCTATTGAGGTTCGCGTAGAACATCTTGAGTACTCTTCAAGTCACTCATGTTTAGTTGACCTAAAGAAAGAATTTTTTTCGAACATGATCAGAAAAAGTCCCAGATCCCAGGCTCAGAAACACTAGAAATAAAGTGTTCTCATTGGCTCATGCAAAAATCATTATCGTAGCCGCAGAATGTTTGTTATAAACAACTTCTCGAAATTTAAGGTGCTGATTGTGCAGCGAATTGATCAAATTTGATGACAAGAAATAATTGTCAGTGATACATTACTTAATTCAGTTAACTATAGAGTAGTTCAAAGCTAAGTTATCTCTCCGAGCCAAACAAGTTGTAAGGAACCGAGTGTTTCGGCATGACATACCTCAGCACATTCACTACCAATAATAATATCCTGAAAACCGCCATTTCGTCCGATGAATTCCGTGAAGCAACTATCGCCTTTCTCGAGTACATATCTGCAAGGTGAGCATGCAAATGAGTCTTTCGTATTTGGAGGTGCCGTGCAAGAAATATCAGTCCTCTCACGGGCAATTCGTCCACGGTTCATGATAGATTGGGTAATGCCCCTGACAATAGCAATGATACAACTACTTCAAAACATTATACGCTTAACATTATACGCTCAAATATACGCTTAAATACCTGATGCCATCTCTCGCCACATTGGTCTCACGAAACCGTAAACACGTTGCTTCTTCCCACATTCGAACTCCTCGTCGAATGAGATTTTGAAAATTGTCTGAAAAATCAATAGTCGAATGACTTCTTATTATTCATTAATCTTCTTCCTGCTAGATAACGCTCGATCAAACGTTGCATTTTCTAAATGACAACGATAATGGTGTTCTGTTTTCGAGAAGGATGAAAGAAATGTGCTTCCGCATTGATTTCTTGTAAAATTTATCGAATGTTTTCAGCAAGTTCATGAGTGCTGAATTCTTTGCTATCGACCGTTGTTTTCATCGTTGAGCTAAGTGAATCATTTAGAGATTAAATACTATCGAATGGCAGTATGCTCAGAACATTTCAATATTTGCTGCTTCAAACAAAAAATGAATCAGGAAAACTAGTGGATGGAATTCACGCAGACGATAATCTGTGAATTTCACAACGGTATACTATCACATGCGAGTGTGTCCCAGCGAAATCCGCTAGAGAATTACACTTGAGTTTTGGCGTAGACTTACATTCAGGCTTGTTCTCAAACCCAGACTAACTTTTAGACTTGAAATAGATCTATTATTTCATTTTAAAATCCCCGCACATTACTACAACCGCATGAAGTTTATAAATTGCCAGTGTGAACAGTGCTTTCTTAGTGACGTAGTTGATTTTTTGTTGCATCGTATTTTTTGATTTCTTCTTTCTTTGGGTTATTTGGAGGCACTTTTTTGGTTGTTTTGACGTAGAACTCAGAGAACAGCGGCCGTGAGAGAGAAGGAATGCAGAAGGGAGTTTCTTATTAAATTCTGTGTTTGTGTAATATAAGTTAGAATGGGATACTATGTTTAAGAGACACAAGACTGGTAATAGTTGAAGTGTTCAGCTTGACCACGATTGAAAAATTACTTCACAAAGTGATTGTTTAATAAAACAGGAAGATGAATGAATAGTGAAAACGAATATTGTAACAATTTGATATTCTCAATTCAATAGCGATTTATAACTTCGAGTTTTTTGGACAGCTGATAACTCAGCGTAGATATATAGTTGTATTTTGTAATAAATTAAATCGTTGGTCATAAACAAGGTTTACTACGGAATGTTGCGAGTGCCGTGTAGACTGCAGGAGATTGAGTGGTAATATTTGCATTGTTGACTCTGGCGGAATGCGGCCAAATGCAGAATAACTTACATAATGAAGAGTTTAGTATGAAGTTCTTTAATGGTATTCAGAGCTTTGCTACATCTTTTCTGGATGGAAGTTTTCTTATAGCTAGTCAAGTTTCTACTTTTCAAGTCTTGACGCATCAAATCTATCTGATTTTGAAAATGCCAAAAATTGTTCGGGAGCTGCGAAACCTACCGAGTGACGGAATTTGAGAGAGCGTTAATTGAGTGAACTATTCAGCTTAAGTAGTGGTTATTTGATTTACTGCAGCCAGTGAAAATGATTTAGTATTTTGACTGACGGTTTGGTTGTATTCATAATTGATGTGTTCATAATCATAAGTGATGTATGTCTTGCCGGCTTGGCTTCATGCTACTCTGTCGACGTTCTCGGTCGTGATTTCTTTAGGGTCTTTGAAGCACGCTCGCTTTGGTAATGGTTTCCTCTCAGTTGTGAAGACAATGTTGCAAAATGAATTGAGTTTGAACTCAAATGGCTGTTGAATGATGAATTTTGATTTTGTTTCATAGAATGATTTTAATTCATTCACATTGATTGCATCAGTTGGAACTGGTTTATGAATTTGGTCGATTGCTTAAGTCGTCAATGTGTCTTATCATTGCCTCATACGATCACTTTTCTTACGTAACCAGAAACTGCTCTTATGAACTGCACAGAAAAAAATCAATCAAAAACGACATATGAGGCAAATTCCACAGTGAATTGTAATCATAAAGACGACGAGTTTGAGCTGTTTCATAAGTATCAAAAGGTATGACACTGCTACATACCGCACTCAGATACATTGCACGTCTATACCGACACCGATTTTATGTTGCGAAGTCTAATATCATTTCAAGCAATAAGTCTTCTATTGACTGCTTTCTAATAATCAAATGTAAAATATGCAAGTTTTTTTTGCGATCTGACATGATTTTTCGACGAAAATTGTATTCTCATAATATATCTCTTCAGACTGAATTTAAAAAAAAGCTTATTTAAGAAAGAATAAAAGTCCAACTTCTGATTCAGTGACTGACATGAAAGCGTGCAAAAATTTGGGCTATACGCTCAGACGAAGACGAAGAAGAAGATGGCGGAATCGCTGGCAGCTATGAAACTATTCATCACCTTCTGAACAAATCAGCAGTATCACGCTTAGACGTAGATAGAATTGTGCAAAAACATAGCTGAATCAAATTTTAACTAGATTTCGTTCTCAAAATTGAGATTGATAAAAAGAGATCTGTTTAAGTGATCCAGTTTGAAAAGTGGTTTTTAAGAAGGTACAATTAAAGAGAAGAGAAATAGCGATTAATATCGTGTATCAGTAAAATACTTACAGTCGCCACCCCAAATCGTGAACGGTATCTCATAGTTGGTCCATTCGTAAATTGGACCAGCTATCACTTGTCGTCGAAAGCGATGATAGCTGCTCTTCGAGACACGCTCGATCATCGTAAAATGTGGATACTTATCTGAAGCCATAATTTCCATACCCGGAACTTGAGGCACTTTTGAACTATTCGATAGAATAGCACAATCACAGAATTGTAGAGCAGATAAAAATATGAAAGAGATTGTGAATAGAAGATCGATGTGAAGTTCTGATATCATCGTGTAATATTATGAATACAATTGAGCGATAGGGCTGTATTAGAGAATATTCGAGATCTAAATGCGGCGAATTTTTGACAAAGTTTTACAGATGGTTTTGTTGCAGTAGGTTTGTTGTCGTTCTAATCTTCTTGCTAATTTACCGAAACTTGGAAGGATGAGTCGAAACGGTTGACGGGTAAATGAGAATAGTGGAAGTGCTTCCAGATGGAGTGCTGAGTCGTCAGTAGATGGACTTGTTGGGTGCAATTCGTCAAGTAACACGAGCACAACAACAGCTAGAGGCAACAAAACGACACACACACCAGCACAATAAAAACTATTAGTTACAGAATGGGCGGTATATGAGATGAAAGATGTTGGTGTATGGCTGTATGATGAATGGAAATTTGACGAAATCAGCAGCGATCGACGAAATAACTCGTCGATATGTGGAACCAATGGAAACGCAACAAAATGTTTTAATTACGACGATTACAACACACCTCAAGGACAGCGCTGTTGTTGCTCGTCTTCGACAATACCGCTGCTCTTCGTTTAGAAATTGATCAATTATCAGTTTTGTCCAGAGGATAGGTTATGCGATTCGTTTGATGGTTAAGTGTCGTTCACCAGATTATTTATTTGTGATGACACAATAAGCTTAGGCGAAGTTGATGGCTACTGAATTGCAATGATAGCAATTTGGAAATTTGAAGTGAATTTAAGTGGTTTCGATTCCGAGCGAATGCGGAGGCAAAAAAGGAATCGGTTGAGAGCAGATGAATTATGAGTATTGGTAAGATTTAGAGATGGTTGCTGATCATGATAATAACACTGATATTAATGAGATACTGTTGCTAATCTTTTGGAATATATAGAAAAGATAATGGGAGACGTCTGAACACGTCTCTTTCGAAGAAGTTTGCTGAACGTTAGCAGTGGTTCTGTGGGGTCGTTAAGGAAGCAGAAAGATTAGCAGGAGGACCGGATTCTGAAGTGAGATGTGAATAAATGTTACGTATGAAAAAGAAACAATTCGATGTGACACACAGATCAAAGCAACCACTGTAGGCAGACGCTTAGCAAGGCAGGGTTGTTTGCATGTTCGCCGCGACAGTTTGAAATGGCTGTGGGGCCATACCGGATATAGCATAACCAGTAGTGGATATTCATGATTCGATGGAAATAGATAAATGTACATAATTAGAATGATGTTCGTACGCCCCCTAAACGTTCAGAATGTGCTTTACAGTTCAATCTAACATCAATTGACAAGTATGCCTCTATTAAGAAAATAATATTAAAACAAATAATAATATTATTACTATCAATAATACTTATATTAATAATGAGAATGTTGGTGTGATTGATCGGCTAAACCACTTGAAAGTCATTCACTTAAAACGATCGCCACCTCGATGGATTATGGAATCCAGTTTTAGAGACCATTTAAAAACCCTGCCTTAACAAATTGTCGAAGGGCCTCATAAATGTTGTGATGTTCTCTAGTATAATTACATTTGAACAGACATTTTTCATGAATTCGTTCTGTCACTTTCACCCATATTCTGGCATATGCCTCTTCAGGTACGTTTATGCGATATGTACGCAACAATTAAACTTTCTGCACAATTGGTTCCATTTGAACTATTGCTTTAACAGCACTATCCATTTTCCGTGAGTGGCTTTCTGAAAATTTCACTGAACTCATCGATAATATCAGAACGAATGGCAAAGCAGAATTTATGCACCTTGAACGGATGTGCCCCTTTTGATGCGAGCATTCGATCGATCTCAGTTAGAATTTGCAATTCTTTCCATCAGGTACCTTGCTGTTGGCAGTTGTGTTCTTATCATTCAGCGAAGGGCAAATGGGAGGCACATTGGTGATCGTTTTTGTGTGTGTCATCGAGTTCATTTATTCGCTTTCTTAACATTCAAGCAAATTTTTAATTTTTCTAATATGGGTAATGCCAAACATTTTTTGTTGTAATCATTGTTGTAGTTGCATTATATGTGTTCTTACACAATTCATGCGAACAGAATTCCACTGCAAAGCATTTCTTTACGATCATTTTGATTACTGCTTGCACTTCTTGTACTGATATTTTCGTCAAATTCACTTAACCATTCGCTGTCATCGAAAATAACGCATTCGAAGGTCGCCGAAAATTGCATTTGGAACAAGATAAGCTTAAGTCAGAAATTCGCAAACTGCAAGATTGACTTTGCAGGCGATTCAGAGACTCAGAGTCCTGCAATGGAAAATTTTTCATCAGTAGTGCATGTGCATGCTTGCAAGCATGCACATGCACTACTGATTTGTGTGATTGCAGTTCGCACATTTCCTATCTTTACATGATCTTCTGGCTACTTGCAGATCTCGTACGGGAGTCGCAACATATACGGATGTATTCTAGTGAATCTTGCTCGAATTTGACTTTTACTTAGGCTCAGTTTCAGGCACACTTAAGGATCTGAAATCAGCACGTTTATAATACTGCACCGTTATGAAGCTTGCAGGTTGTTCTCGTAAGCTCACGCCTAAGCTTGAGGATATACAAAGACCTAAGCGTCAGTTTGAGAGTAAGCATGAGCCAAAATCGGACCCTGATTCAAGCAAATGAAGCTATAATATGTTTATGTATATTGTTAGACCTGGACGAGGTTTACAAATTGCTCCATCTTTTCCTAATTTGCATTTACTCATGGTCACTGAAGCGTTTTAGCATCTTCCAAAAATCTTAAAGTATTTTCTGAACATTGATCAATAGTGTCAATGTTCCAGCAATGGCACATCACTCATAACTCGATTATTTATGACATACCATTGATCACTGATCATAACTACTCCCATTACTGTCACTCTTAATCACATTCATCCACTGCCACCTTATTAATCAATTTGTTGTTTTTATAAACAAAAAAATCATAAACGCAACGGAAGTAACATCAAAATGCCAAAATGCAATGAAGAAAAAACTTGAAGGTTATTTATAACGCACATAAATCAGTTGTACGCATCAACAATGACTTATTATGCAATATGAATATACTCAAGATCGCCTGAGGCACTGCTGTTGGTGGGTCATTGAAATGTGTACGTTTTCGCATAACGTGCGCAACCAACCTTCTATGCGTACCTTTCACCTATAAGCACGTATGGTTGAATCACCTCGTTGACGAATCATCATATATCTTTCCACTACGCCTATATTTTCACACCTCAATGCATTTCAGTTGTGCTATAAGAATATGCTCCACTAGTGATACGTATTTTTTTACTGCAACTTCATCATGCCCAAACACTATGATCGCTAATTCCATCAACAATATTATTGCGTGCTGTTTTTTGTCAACATATTGCACTTTCCGCCGAACATTTTTAGAGTAACAGTGAGGTGAAAACCATATCAGAAACCGGAATGAACAAGCCCATTGTGCGACTTTGTCCATTTACTGAATTCGGTCTTTGATATTGCAAGCAACATTTTTGCATTTAACGAAGATTTTTCGATTGCATTGCTACGACTGCACATTAGCTCAAATTCAAGTGTTGGTTTTGTGAAAATATCAAAACATGTTTTGAATGTTTTATCAGCCTTGACCGATGAATCGATTCGTAAAATGCGATGACGTATTTGGAGCACACCCGCAAGTGTCTCGAATGAACAATAACGACATATATTTGCTGAAATATTAATTTATTCATTCGTTTACTCAACCAGTTGCAGTTTCCAATAAAAGTTTCGATGTGCGCAATTGACTAAACGTTTACTTGTTTGCTGATTTGCCATTAGCAACCACAGAGTATTGCGCAAGTGATGGATTTTGGATGACGGTTGGCGAAGTATTTGAATGAAGGATACAGCTGAATAAAGAATAAACGAAAAAAAGTGAAGAGAACTGATGAAGATTGAATAGTCATTTTCACTCTGTGATATTAGTTTTGTGATGAAAGTGCAAACCAAAATATCACTGCGTGGATTTGTAATTGAAATGAAAAAAATCAAATGGCGATCATAGTAGCATAACGGGCTGATAAAAATGATGCTGTTGCAAAAAGAGCAGAATATTCACTCCGTACTATCAATTCAGCTGAGTGCACGAAACGAGTTAATCATCTGAATAACATGTAAGCATGAATTTTTTTCTGTACGAGCATCTTGAATTCAGTTTATTTTGCACATGGTTTCATCAATTATTCATTCTTATATTCATTTGACAAAATCTAGGTTTCATAAAGAACTGGTGTGTTGTGGGGATCGGTGAAGTTCACGGACCTCGTCTCCGATTCCCTGTCCTTAACTTTTCTCAAACCGACCTCATTTTCCGGGTCCCCGGCTGCGAATTTTAGTCCTCGACTTTTTTCTGTTCCCGCGAGACACTAACCAAAACTCTTCATCGCTGCTGATATGAATTATTTATGAAGTGATTGATTCTAATTGAACCATCGGCATCAATCACGTTCCATGAAAATGATTCAGATAATTCAAAAACATTTTAAAACAACCAACTTGATGCAATCATTCTCGTAAATTACGGAAATACCAGAATTTCTCTTCCATTCAGATTGCACTAAAAAATCGAAGTGATTGTCGCAATCTGTGAGCTTGAACTAAGAAGCACTTAAAAATTGAAGTTTAATGATTGGCATCATCTAAGATAAATTGTCTACTCATTTTGTGCAATTTTTCAGTCGGATCACACATAAATTTCATTAGAGACGTACAACCGGTTTATTTTTTTTTGTGAAGTAGCGCATGAGGAACGGATGAATGAACGACTGCAGTGTCATTGTTATATTGAAGCATTTATTTGCAATCATTGCCGTAATTCTTTCGTAAAACTGCCCACGATATCTTTTATGCAAACTTTTCTCTCAAAAACTCATTCCTACCTAGAATGATTATTTGGCATTACATAACCACAATCAATCTGAGTGCTGACAGTCAAAATGGGTCTCGTGATTTCCATTCAACAATGTTCGACTTCTAAGTTTTTGGATAGTATTGTAT